TGTGAGTGTATTCTGAACGAGATCTTCATGAGACAAGAGAGATAATGTGCTCATGAGAGAGAGGAAGAAATAAGGAGGAGAGAGAGAGAGGGGAAGATGCCACTTACCTGAGTAATGCTGTACTTCGACATGGTGATGTTGCTGCGCTGGTCTCCATATTGATGGGATGATGAACAGAGTTGATTTATGAGCTGTTGTGATGAAATTGAGAGACTGGAAGTTGATGTAATCAGACATTTTTGATAATATAAGCGGCGGCAACGCATCTCTTCTCTACCTTTGCCTATGGGGGACAGGGAACTCTTCTCTACCTTTGTCTATTGGAATGGGACATCTCTCTCCTACCTTTGTCTAAGGTGACGAGTACATTGGTAACCATGACATCTGGATGACTGGTTCGTGGTATAATGGTCTCTGGACCCATGCACCACAGCCATCCACTTACGTTCTGTCCTTGTTGCTACCTTTTCAAATTCTGTTGTGCAGATTTGTAGCAAAGTTGTCGTTTCTGTCTGGTACAATTCCAGCAGCGCAGCGTCCGGGAGTGTAGAATCAGAAAACTGCGTTAAAACATCATGTATGGACAATGTTTGTTGTTTTGCACGTTTCAAGCGGTGGTACTCAGTCATTTTCACCCTTCCTTGACGGGCCAGAGATTGAAAGGCCAGAGCCAATCTGCGGGTTGGTTGCAATTGAGGCGGCATTGTGGACAATTCTTGTTTCCACATGTCGTGTACCTCTTTGATGAACTGCCTATCTTGACTCAGCCATGCCGGAAGCCTACACATGTCCCTGTATCGGCGAATGTGTAAGCCTCGTTTAAGTGTAACCAGCAGAGGGAGGTGATCCGATCCAGGGGATGGGATGGCCTCCACCTGTTGCAGCAAGGGCAGCATTTGAGGGGTGAGAAAACAGACATCCAATCGACTGCGCGACTGCGGGGCAGTCGTTGGGATGTCGTCAGTGAAGTCCCTATCCATGTGTACACTGGATCTAGCGGATTGAGGTGTCTGTGTGTGTCTGTCCAATTGTGTCGAGCTGCCAAAGCCGTCAGTTTCAGTGCGGTCTGTGATGGTGGGTGTATTGCTGTCGAGTCTATGTGGGGCTGCAAGACTGTATTCCAGTCTCCGATAAGGATTAGATTGTCCAATCGGGGGACTGTGGTGGGCAGGAAGTTAAAAAAGGCAGATCTTTGTTTAGTTTCTGACGGGGCATAGACGTTATAGACACCCCACATTTGCCCATCTAATTCAAAAGCTACCCAAATCCACTTACCATCGCAGTCCCAAAAAAAGTCTTTGAAGGTTATAGGCAAGTTCGGGGCGAACAGAATTGCCACCCCACCCTTTGTGCCAGCAGCCGGTGCCCAGAACTGGGGGCCTCGCCACCAGGATAACTGGGCATTGACCGCCTGTCTGTCGAGTTTTGTTTCCTGTATACAAACAATTAAGTCCGTTTTAATTAATGATCTCTTATACGCCACTTGGCGCGAACCCAGTCCGCGTACGTTCCATGACATGATTTTGACTTTATCCATCCAAAAAAATTAGAGGAGGAGAGAGTTCGGACTCAGAACCATCAAAAGCAATTTACAGAAGGAAGAAAGAGGAAAGAGAAGTAAAAGAACTTAATTAAGAAGAAATGAAAAAAGGAGCAAAGATAAGAAAAAGAAAAAAGAAAGGGAGTAGAGCAAAAAGAAGTAACAGAAAATGCAGTTAGTTGGAGGAAAGACAATTATTCCGCCCATTTCTGCATCATGAGACCAGCAAAGCCAGATTCAAAAAGCTTGTACTGCTGTGGCATACAGAAGTTGACTTCATGTAGGATCTCTGCTGTCCACTGTCCGCCAATCTGAGTCGTTGTTGTCATCGCCCCAGCTGGGTCAGCGAAGAGGCGCCATAGAATCCATCTCGCTCGCGGCATGTTGGCAACTTCATAAACAGCTTCTGTCTGGCGAGCATCCAAGAATAAAAAAATGAGGGACATCTCTTCCCCTGACAAGTGCTTTTTGGGAATTTTAATCCACTGCACTTCGGGCCACTTTCGCAGCCGGTAACCATTGCCTAACCATTTCTGAATTTCAGAAATGGTTTCGGCGATATCGGGATCCACATTACCAGGTATATGAGGTATGTAGAGAACATTATTCTCTTTCATTGCAGTGAGCAGTCGCAGCTCTTCATTCCAGGCGAGTATGAGCGGGATAACCAAGAAAGGAGGCATCGTATGTTCACCTTGGTCGTCCAATCTGGTTCCAACTTGCATGCCCGGTGCTTGTCCCTCTGTGTGTTTCTCTGTGGGTACATCTCCCCATGGCCCAATGGGCGGCTGAGTCGATCCTTGCCTTCCAGCTGCAGGTATCGCTCCATCAGATCCTGTTGTCCCAGAGGAGGTTCCGCCTCCCCTCCCACTGTTCTCCCCTCCTCGACCATCACCCCCTTGCCCCCCCACACCTCTCCCACCGTCACCCCCTTCCCCTCCTCCCCCCCTTCCTCCTCCCCTACCACCACCAGTACCACCGCCACCAGTACCTCCCCTGCGATAGGGAGATATTTTATCTCCTCTGATCATCGTGGCTTCATCCATGTGAGTCTTGGAGCGTTTCTCCTGTCTTTTCTTAGCTTCCCGTGCAGCGCTCATCTCAGTGTCTTTGATAGCTGTCCGAGTGTCTTCCTGAGTAGCCTCCTTCCCTTTTTGTACGATGCTAGGCCATTCCTCAGGGGGAACGTCAGCAAGACATCTTCCTTTCACTGAGGGATGGCCATACCATTTATGAACTTCACACCAGGGGGTGTCTTGGGTAACGACATCCAGTGTGAGATAGACGCTTATGGTCGGCTGGATTTTTGATCGAGCAGAGAGCTCAAGGTCATATCTACGATTGACTAGTCGAGGCTCGTTTTTCCTTTTCTCCAACGACTGAGCTTTGATTACTCTACCATAATGAGTCTCTATTGCTCCTTGCAAGGAGGAGAGAGCCAGATGGGGGATTTTCAATACCCTGATCCAGAATCTCCCCTCCTGAGCCGATTGTCTGTCTTTTTGCAATTCAGTAGGAGTCAACCAAGGTCTAAACCTAACTTTATATTCTCCTGTTTGCCATCTGATGAGGCTCTCTCCTTGATCGTTGATCAACCAGTCTCGCAACCGCTGAGTTGGAGCAATATATGATATGACAGACGCTCCCTCAGGTTTGACTCTCCCATATCGGCCCCCA